CAATTGTGTAAACCTGATCTACGTGGGTAACTGGCGCATGAAAGATTGCAACGGCACAAAGGCAGGATAAAAGCATGCGTCTTCCATGAGTCTGCACCCAGTAATGGCTGTATTAATCACCATTATCATTATAGTTGCTCTCCTAAGCATCATCATAATCAATTCTGCAACTGTTTCTCTTGGTGACGTCTCCTTATTACAACATGGTATTAATTGTATCCGAGCTGATTTTCTGCTCCTACTGCTTACCAGCTGTGTGGGAGTAAATATCCCTCAGTGAAACATCAGCTCAGGCTGCCAGGACTCAGGAAATGGATCCAGATGTGAACATCAGGATCAGAGGGCAGATGCAGACTAGAATACACCCGTGTTTGTGCTCAGCTCAGCGATCAGCTTCGAGTTTCAGAGAGTCTGAGACGTCCTTTCAAATACCATGAGCCATCCAAGAGTTAACAGCTTGAGTTTTGCTTTTTGTTAGTTTCATCTAGGTCAGAAACATTCATTGTAAGGAACTTTTGTCTGGCTCTTTCTTTAAGAAGAAAAAAAAAAAATGCAACCACCACCAAGAGAATAACCGCGTGGATTCCCCAAACATGTGATTAAAAACTATAACTATCCCAAATTTCTATTGTGGCTATTGGGAACAAAGCCATCTCAGCACTTTTTTTTTTTTTAAGTACATTTCAAAGCACTTTGGTTTGTGACTTTCACAAATTAGAGCTCTCACACTTTTTTCCCTAAACAGACCAAAGCAATTACAGTGCAAAGCAACAGCTATTTCTGTCTCTCCCTTTGGAGTCTCCAACTGTCTGGCGAAAGTACCAGAAGACCTGTTGCTTTGTATCTCTTTTGTTGTTTTTTATCAGTTTCTCTGCCTCTGGGCATCACCAGCTGTGCTTATTTGGGGTGAATTTGTTTTAAAGGTCTAGCAAGATTCAGGACATTTGGCTACTTTTCTTTTTGCTTAAGTGTTCACTTGTAATTGACCCATAATAATCATACATACTTACGGGATATAAGATGATGCTCTGATACATGTAGACATTACGTAATGAGCAAATCAGGGTAATTAGTATATCCATCAATCCAAATATTTATCATTTCTTTGCAGTGAGAACATTCAAAATCTTCTCCTCTATTAACTACTCTTCTTAACATCTTGTTTGTCCATGCTATGCTGGTAAGGTTACCTGGACTGCTATTTCTTCATCTATTAAAAATGGGAATGGCTGGTATTTGCACTGCTTTTTTAGATGAGCAGCACAGAGGTACAGAGGAAAGAGCTTGGGACTAAGAGCAGTACAACAAGCCTTCTCATGTCCTCTAGGAAGGCATGTGATTGGGGAAGGAAGTCAGGTTCGGTGTGCACCAGGAGCCGTGGCAATATGTCCTTTGTCCTATATACCCCTGCTAAGACACTGTCCTAGATAAGGCAGTAATACACATGGATGCAGTTCGTTTCAATAGGAACCATAACGAAAGTGGAAACCAATCTCAAATATCCAAAATATAAGATGAGTTAAGTAAATCATGGTACATCCATCCAATGAAATATTACGTAGCCATTAAATGCAGGTTTTCAAAGGTTTCGTAATGCCATTGTGGAAGTGCCGAGCTGGGTTAAAAAAAAAAAAAATTCAAAGGCATTCAATCTAAATTTGTTCAAAATTTGGCACATCCAGAGATCGTGTGTGTGCGTGTGTGTCAAAAACATGCACATGCGTCAAGAGAGGTAGCAAGGGAACCTGAGAAGGAGACTAAAAGCAGAGAAAGACGGAGAGAAATACACCAAAAATATTAGCAACTGCTCATCAATTGATAGGCTCGTGTGTGATTTATAGTCTTCCTTTATGTTGTGTTTTTCAAATTTTCTCAGAAGAATATTTGCTACTTTCATAATCAAGAAAAATGAATATTATTTTTAAAGCCTATTTGGGTGTGAAACTATTAAAATTATATTTGAAAAACCATTCTACAGTGTGGGGAAAAAAATGCCTATATAACAAAATGAGGATAAATTCTTACGAGTGCAATTCTGTCCAAGGTCATGTTTAGAAAAAAAAAAAAAAAGTAAAGACATTCAAATACTAACATTGGTTACTTCCGAATGACAAGATTGGGGTGATCTTACCTTCTTTCCTGAAATGTTTCTAAATTAGAATAAAACAAATCATGAAAATAGATTTTCAGGAGTTAAAAATGGTAATGCTTATTTTGGCAACAATGGGCATTATTTTTTTAAATATGTAAAAATGTAATATTTAAAAGATTTTTATGAATTCCTTCCTCGTAGATGAAATATATATATTCTAATACAGGGAGCAGGGAAGGACTTGCCTTCTTTTGAACCCAGCACCCTGTGGCCAAACAAAATAACTCCATAGTCACAGAGGATAACCACAGCCAACCATTACCCAAACAGCCATCCCACCAGCCTATACCTGGAACCTCCACTCCCTACATATGCCAGGAAAGCTGTAGACTAGTGCTTCTCTCTGCTTCAGAGCTAGGAGAGACCAATTGAGACTGATGAATAAAAAGTAGATTATTCAAAAGGTTTCCCCCCCACCAAAATCCAGCATCAAGTATTCCAAAAGAAAAGTTTCTAATAGCCTCTTAATATTTCTTCATGCCAATGGTGTGGAGAGCCAAGCTGTGATTAATTAAACACATAATTCCGAAGGAGACAAACATCACTTCTTGGCTTGGAGAAATGTTGCAGAATGGAACAGTCATTTTAAGAAATAAATTTTTAAAAAATAATTGAATCCCGAGGACATGTGAGTCATTTCCCGTATGCTGTCAAGTGCACTAGTTCTTCCAACCCATAATCCATGACATATATACATACATTTGCACCTAAATGGCAAATTTTAGGCTAATGGGCATAACTGACTCATCTTTGCCAAATACATATTTTTGAAAGGAGAAAGAAATCGCAATTATTAAAATTGAATTTTAACTTTAATAAGCATTTTTGAGTCTTTTTTTGTTTGTTTGTTTTGGTTTTTTTTGTTTTTTTTGTTTTTTTGCTGTATATAAATATGGGGAATTTGTTAAAAGTCTTTGGGGTTTTGCCCCTGTCTTGCCTGTATGTGACAAAGAGTTTGAACTCACTCATTTCCTATCTCCTAACCCCAGCTCAGCCCTTGCCTGGCTCTTTCTTGCTGTGTCCCTCTCTTCCTGAGCACGAAAAAGACTGCTCACTCCATATGTGACCAGAGAAGCTGTCTACCTGAAGCATATGTGTTTAATCAATGTTAATACCCCTGCAGTCCAAAGGAAGTGAAAAACTCGGGCCTGGGAATAATTATCATTTCCATTACATTAGCAAGGTTTGCTGGCGTGCCAGGGGGGCGGGGCGCTTGCCATCACTCTGCTAAGGCTGGCTGGCAGCTTAGGGGACAGGAGTCTGAAATGCACACAGCACCAAACCCCTCTTTCTGTCATTACCCCCTCCTCCGACTTCCCCCCTTATTCTAAGGTCATAGCATCCACTGTGATTAATGAAGAGCATGGCTGATCTTTTTTATTTTCCTCAAGGTGTCCTCCATATGACTGTTCATTAAGACAGAAAAATAAAAATCTGTTGATTTGACAAGTGAGAGAAAAATTCGTGGGCTCATGGGCAGTCCAGATAAGAAAGTTCCACAGTGATCCAACCAGAAGGGTCAGCAGCTAATAAACCAGGCTGGGGTCCCCAACTCTACATCATCTCTCCTAACAGGAGTGCTGGGCACCCTGGCTCAGTTTTCTCTCCAAGGGAAACATTTGTAGGGGTACCCTGGAGCCCTGGATAAAACACCGAGGGCCGAGTGCCTACCTGGGCTCTCTTGCTGAGTGACCATCCAAGCTGAGTGAGCTCTTTGACTTCTCTGAGTTTTCATTTCCTCTTTTGTAAAGTGGGAAGAAAAATATCTGTCATTTCTACTCTTAGCATCGTTGTGAAGTTCAAAGGAAGAGAGTATTTCTGAAGCCTCTCGGTCCACCATAAAGCACTAGGATAATTACTAAGAGGTGGTCTGAAGGAGTATTGGAGTTGCCAAAAACCAAAAATACCCAATTTTGGCAGAGTAGAGGGGAAATGTAACTTCTCTTACACGGCAGGAACAAAAATAAACAGGTGCAAATTTTGCAATTTAGCAATATATGCCAAAAGCTTTCAAAGTATGCATACTCTTTGACCCCAAAAATATACTGCATCGCTATTATTTAATTTTCAGTCTTAGTTGATCAGAGGACTTAATTTGGTGTAGGAATTATTTTGGTTAAAGCCTTTTTCTGTTCTTCAAACTCAGTGACATCATCCAAATCAAAACTTGTTAGGGTCATTTGATCATTGAGAATGTTGTCAATGATATCTGCAATCCAATAACGTCAAAGAAAGTTAAAACAAATTACATACTTCTCAAAATTATTTATTACTTTTAATGAACCTGTATATGTAAAATTATCACCTGTAAATGTGTGTATATGTGTGCACATGTTCATATGAAAAGGTCAGAAAATATAACAGCAATAGATTGAGGGTTGGATATGGGAGGTAGAATAAGTTTTATCTTTTTAATTTGAAGAGCTGTAGCTTTGAGTTTGTCTTACAATGAATAGATTTGCTTTTGTATATTTTTTAAAAGCCACTTTTAATTTAGAATACAATATAAATCAATATGTGATTAACAATCCATGTAACACTAATAAAAACCACTATGAGGATGTAGGCAAGGAAAATCAAGGCCAAGCACGGTGGCTCACACCTGTAATCTTAGCACTTTGGAAAGCTGAGGTGGGAGGATCACTTGAGCTCAGGAGTTTGAGACCAGCCTGAGCAAGAGTGAGAACCCTGTCTCTACAAAAAATAGGAAAATTACCCAGGCATGCTGGTGCATGCTTTGTAGTCCCAGCTATTCAGGAGGCTGAGGCAGGAGGATTGCTTGAGCCCAGTAGTTTCAGGTTGCTGTGAGCTATGATGATGCCACTGCACTCTACCCAGGGTGACAGAGCAAGACCCTGTCTCAAAAGGAAAAAAAGAAAATCAACAAGGGTACAAGTTGGAAGAGTAGGTATGATTTAGTAATAATGACAGAGGGAGGGCAACCTAGTCCAAAGAAATAGTAGTAGTTAAGGTTTAGAATCAAGAAAAAGAATAAAAAGTACAAAGTAGAATAACAGAAAAAATTCTGATGGGGAAGTTATGGATAATAACATCAGATAGAGAGAACAGGTGCAGATAGGGAAGACCTTAAATTTTTTCCTATCAGCAATGGGGGCCATTAGCAGTTGTTGAGTCTGAATGTTCAATTTCAAAATCTTTGTATTTAGGATAGAGGCAGATCTATTTAGATGTGTAAAGTATGATTCCAGGTATGTAGGAAATTTATGAGTAGTGAACAGAAATGACTATGAGAACCATTTGGACTTCTTCTGGAAGGAGGAAATGACAGCTGTGCTCCCTAAATGTTATTAGATGATTATCAAACCATCCCCAAATTAGCTTGAAACAACAACACATTATTTTTCATGATTCTGAAATGTGGGCTGGGCTCAGCTGGGCAGTTCTTCTGGTCCATGTGGTATCTTCTAGGGCCCAGATGCCCAAGATGGCTTCACCACTCAAACATCCGCTGCCTCCCTTAGGACAGTGACAGCAGCTAGCGGCTGGACAGATGTCAAGAACTGTGCAGGATCTGAGATTGTTCTCTACTCACAAGCCAACACATTAGTCTATCACAGTTTCATGGTCGCTGACAGAAGTCCTCTGTAAGAGACAAAGGACTTTGTTACCCATGGCACAGGAGTCAGCATGTGCTTCCTGTGTTTGCACTGTTTCCCTTTGCTCGCCCCCCACCCCTGCCCATTTGTGTCCCACGGGAGCAATGTGGAGTGGCTCAGGCAGATAGTGCTCACACCGTGGACTTGTCCCACAGCTGAGGAGCCCTGAGCTTAGGGAATTCTTAATCCTAGAAGGGGCTACTAGCAAACACATCCATCCCTTTGTCTCAGAAGGAGACAGTATCTTTATTTCCCTGATTAGGAAACAAATATGCCCTCTGCCCAGGAGGGAGACCCTACCTCTATCTTCCAAGGATGTTCGCTATACAAATGTCTTTGAATACAAACATTCTTTAAAAGACAGTCTAAGACAAAAGCTGCCACCAACACGTAGAAACAGCATGAAGAATTCCCCCTACACAAACACCACTGGACATCTCTCTTTCTCCATTTGACCTCTACATATGGCAGCTTCCTCACAATATCATGTTCTCAGGACAGTCAGACATTCCCATGGTGGCTGATTTCCAAGAAGACAGACTTGGAAGGTGCCAGACCTGGTACCACATCACTCCGTAGCATGGTTTTCCCATTTTTATTTTTTTTTTCTTTTTTTTTTTATTTTTTTTTTATTTTTAAGGAACCAAGTTTTCTGCTAGATTTTCCCATTTTTAAATGGTTGGGGGTTAAAAACCAAATGAAAAATAATATTTGGTGATGCAAAAAAATATATAAAATCTGAAACCCCAATTTCAGATTTCAGCAGCCATAAATAGTCTTATGGGGACATAGCCACAGTCATTCATTTACGTGCTGTCCATAACTGCCTTCACCATACAACGGTAGAATTAAGTGGTCACCATAGAGACTGTGTGGCCCATAAAGGCTAAAATACTTTTGGTCTGGCTCTTTACAGAAACATTTTTGCTGACCTCTGGTCTGAGACATCATTCTCAGCTGCTCCATTAAATATAAAACTCTGCCTGAGAATTCCTCATTTGTATTTATATAAAACATTCTTTCTAAAACAATTCACAGGCTCAGGCATTCATATCAGTGGCAAGGTGTCGTGTGACCAAAACATTTCCATAGACCTCTTCCCATGGAAATAATAATAACAGTAGCTGCGACTTACTGAACACGTACTGTGTCCCAGGCACTTCACAGATACCATCTCATTAACATTCTCTGCAATTCCTCCAGATAGGTTTCATCGTTCCCCCTTTTCAGATAAGCAAACCAATGCTTAGGAAATTTAAATAATATTCCCCAAAGCCAAACAGCATAGGAATGGCCAAGCGAAAACTGAAAGCTAGGTCTGTCTGACTCCAAAGCCCAGTTCTTTATAAATGCCATTGTTGACTAATCTCATGTCCAATCCCAGGGAGGCTCAGCAAAAAGATAAATTGAGAGGAACACCATACTCTGCTGCACCCAGAGCTTTTTCTCTCATCAACTCCGTCTCATCTCTAATCCTGAAAACTCTCCACATAATAGATTCACCTGCTTTTCTTTCCCCTTAAATCTTATTTTTCTCCATCAGAAACATCACCGTGGAAGGTGAGGATACCCGGCGCTACTCAATTGGATTTTGGGGTGTTTAGTCTCCATGAAAATAAAACCCAGTTAGCCACTGAGATGTGCTCAGCCGGCCATGGGTTCACCGAGCCACCTCAATATGGCCTGTGGAGTCACCTCTTTTCTGCGTGTTTGCTGTTCCCCTTGGTGGCTGTTCATGCTTGTTTTCCATATTCCCGCTTTCCTCTTGGCAGTGATTTTTCACTTGTTTTGTTAACTCGAATGTTCTGGAATGGAGAAAAACTAATCAAGCAGTACTTGCGTGCCTTTAAGTGATAGAAAAAAGCCATAAATTAAAAAAAAGGAGGAAAGCAGAGTGAAAAAGAGTTGAGAGACAGCAACAGGGGAAGAGGAGGCTGATAGGAATAGGAAGAGTCGGGTGACAGACATCCCGACGTTGGGAGGCAGAGGAAGAGAGGGAAGAATGAACGAAGAAGGATGGCAAACAGAAGGACAAAGAGAGGGACAAGAGAACAAAGAGAAGAAATGAAGGAGAGACAGCAAGTTATTCCCAGAGGAGAAAGAATGCATCCACCCCTCCCTCCATTTCCCTAATCCTTTTCCCACCTCCATCCGTCTGCAAGAGTTCCAATTTGAATCCAAATAATGTCTGAGATTTGGGATTCGCTAGTAAACTAGCTCTGATTCCCTAATCCCAGCGCCGGATGTTTTGGGGTGTTGGGATTTGGAGTTAATTAATTCAGCCACCTGTAACATCCATTCAGCTATTGCTACCTTTTCATCTTTGCACAAAGTTATCTGCAGATGCTGAGCGATGCCTCTTCTCCACCCCTGACCACGACGGCTCTGAAAACCTGCGTCTTGTTCTTCTGAAGCAACCTCTTCATCTCCATCCTCCTTTGTGTCCAAGTGCAGATCTCTAACTTCGCATAGGAATGCTACAGAGAACTTACAGTTTTCTATACTCTTTAAACCTGTTTATTTGTGACCTCTTTATTGTGCTGGCTATATATGCCGATCTACACAAAACAGAAAGAAAAAAAAAAACCTGTATTAAATAAAAAGAGGGTATGATTTTAGTCTCTCAAATATAAGCGCTTGATCCTTTGTGCACTAAAGCAGATTTCAAAGAATTTCCTAAAGGGAGCTGGGGCCAGCGTGATAGCACTTCTTCGCCTCCTTCACACAGACATGGAAGCCACCTGTTGGAGAGAGTGACCTTGTCGTGTGCCTGCTTGGCTTCTTTCTGTCACATCCAGGTAGAGCATTTATAGGTATCCACCCTGCAAAACAGTGATGACAGTCATTAGGGAGTTTTAAAATATCGAACTCCTTACCTCCCAGTGTTCATCAAAAGTCTTAAGAGGCATAACAGAGAGAGAGAGGTTTGTTTGAAGGACATTAAGTAAAATCATTCCTCATATTATTTGCTTAGCACGTGCTCGGACCTGCCTGCCTCACCCAGACCAACACCGAAGGGCCTTTGTGAGTCAGACAAGACCACCCAAGTGCGCTAACATTTTGGTCACATCCAGTAGCCTCCCCTGGCCCCTTGCTCAACCTGTTATGGCATTATGTCCTAGTGAAAGAGAATTGAGACCAAAAGTTCAGCAACCCTGGGATTAAAACCCATGTCCCTGACTTCAAGCCCAGTTTTCCTCCCACTATATCACATTACCTCCCACCTTTAGAAATAAAATAATTTCTTCCAAGAACACAGATGCCTTCTAGTTCATAAAGTAAGTGCTTGTCTGATCAACAGGCTGTTTAAGAATCTCAATGTGCCTCCTCCCATCTTTGCAAAACAAGGCAGTAAAATAAACAACCTGATCAAGCATGGAATTTGCAATATCCCTTCAGAAGTTGAAGGACATTAAAAATGATGGTTGCTAATAAACATGCTAAGATTGTTATCTGCATTTCAAAGAACCTCTTGGGAGAAGGGGAAAAAAAGGTTGGTCAAGAACAATTATCTTGTAGAGCAGTTAAAAATTTTAACTACTCCAATATGTTGGTGGTGAGATTTAATCTCAGTGTAAGGATACCTTTATCAACCATTGGGATTTATCATGCACACAAAGCAATTTAGGCACGCTTGGTTTCTGCCTTTAAGGATCTTTCTAAAGTGGAATTCCTCTCCATGGAAACTCATTTGTATTGGTGGAATTTCTTGCTAAGAAAACAAAGCATCTTTCAAAATCCCAGGCTGTTACCAACTTGTCATATTGCAAAGATAATACAATTGCAGCGGAATATTCCCTCTCCAGTCAAAAGTTAATGAGATAATGAGCTCAGTTTAATTTCCTGGTAAGGGCACCATTTTCAAATCACAAAAGCCCCTAACAATTTTGGCGCTTCTCACTGCCTTCATTCTTGGTGCCTTCGTTTTTTGGTGCCCTTCATTTGCAAAGGAAAAATAAAAAGATGTAAGTTTCAGTTTTAGCACCATCTTTCACCAATCTGAATTTCATCCTTTCAGCCTATAGATTTCTTTATGGCCCACTATCCACTTTCTTCTTTAAAGAAAGTGAGTGTGTGTGTGTGTGTGTGTGTGTGTGTGCGTGTGTGTGTAGACAGAGAGAGAGAACATGCAACAGGCAAGAATTGTGCTAAGAACGGACAATACCTAGCTAAATGAGAGCCTGTTTTAGGGCATCCAACCTACAGTGGAACACTGACTGGATCCAAGGCATTCTTTTGCAGGGAAAGGATTGTAGTGTTGTCAGATCACCATGAAGAGGGCATTTAATCCTGCTTGTAGGAATCAGAAAAGGCCTCTTAGAGGAGATACATTTGAGCAGAGCCTTCGAAGATGAATGAGAATGCCCAAGACAGAGGAAGTAAGATATAGACGTTCCCTAAACTCTTTAAATGTGTCGGGGACCTAGGATGTATAGCAGAAAAGGGATAGTGGATGAGTATTACTGTGCCCTTGATGAGGAGCTTTGTATTTTATCCTACGGTTCAAAACAGTCACCGCGGATTTTTCAGCAAAGGAGCAACAGCATCGAATTTTTGTATTTGAGAAAGAAAACTGGCAGTAGTGATTAAAGTAGAGCAACAAAAAGTGACACCAGAGAAACTTGGGGAGGGGAATTTCAGAGACAGGACGGGAGATGGAGAGAACCTGAACCAGCACACTGGCGATGAACAGGAGAGGAAGACGTGTGTATTAGACACCTTCCTTCTACCGGGCGACACGAGCAGGTGTCCTGTGGCCACTTCCGGTCTCTAACCCTCCAGCCTTTAAACTCTAATCAGTTTCCCAACCTTCGTGCACCCTTTAAGAGCTAAAAACAAGGATCTCTGCATTCATTTGAATCTCGTTTTATTTTTCCAAATGAAGACTGGCAGACAATAATATCTCATCAGCTCAGTCTCCAAAACAGCAGCTGGTGGCCTCTTCAGGGTGACCTGGACAAATAGCAGAGAGCGTGGATGACTGTATCTGCTGTCGATTAAGTCCAAACTCCGAGTTCCTTAAGCCCGACAGCCAGCTGGAGTGCAGTTGCTTTCCAGCAGATACCTCGTGTCCATCTTCATTTGGACGGAGAAGCAGAGGCGTTCGCCGTTCTTTGGAATAATGAGCAAAGACACCCACAATAATGAAATCTGCAATTCTTTTGTGATGGCATCTCTCCCTAATCAACCCATCTGTATCAGTTCCTCATTCTGCCTATCATGTCAGAAGGGGCGAAGGGGCGTGAACACCTTCCCTCCTGAGGATTTCTCCCAGGTCAGGTTTTGAAATGCTTTTCTGAATTTTATACACAGAGTCTTTAAGAGACGAGTATTTTAGGGCAGGGCTCTCCAAGCAAAATAATGGAATCTAGTGACATATCGCAAAGTCTTTCTAAGTCATTCCCCTTCCTGGTGGTTTCTGGTGGATTTCTCTGGGAAGGTCTGATTTCAACCCGATCAAGGAAATGCTCCTGCTCTGCTCTCTTCTACCTTAAGACCTTAACTATTTTTTGTCACAGATTTATTGAGCTATAACTCACATACCATAAAGTTCACTGAATAAATTCAGTTTATTGCAGCACGATTCACAATCACAAAGATGTGGAACCAGCCTCAGTGCCCATCAATTCATGAGTGGATTAATAAAATGTGCTATATGTAAACCATGGAGTACTACTCAGCCATGAAAAGGAATGAAATAATATATTTTGCAACAATTTGGATGGAACTGTAGACCATTATCCTAAGTGAAGTATCTCAGGAATGGAAAAACAAACAGCACACGGGGGTACTCTCTAATAATTGGAAACTAATCGATAGGCACATGTGGGCATAAAGAGATATAAAGATCATTGGAAATCAAGAAGGGGAAGGGGGAAGGAACCTACCCAGTACAATGAACACTATTTGGGTGAGGGGTACACTAAAAGCCCCAAATTAAGCACTATAAAAGGTATCCATGTAACAAAAACATTTGTACCTCCCTAATATTTTGAAATTTTAAAAAGTATACAATTCAGTGATCTTTAGTATATTCACAGAACCATGCAACCATTGTCACTATCTAATTTTAGAACATTTTCATCACCCCAAAAAGAAAACCCATATCCATTAGTAATTAATCCTTATTTCCCCCTCTCCCCAGCCCCTGGCAACCACTAATCTATTCTCTGTCTTTTTGGATTTATCGGTTCCAAACATTTCATAGAAATGAAATCATCCTACTGAGTATGAAGATCACATTATAGATTTTGTCTGAATTTTCCTAATGATTAATGATGTTGAGCATCTTTTTAAGTGTATATTAACCATTTGTATATCTTTTTGGAGAAATGTCTATTGCCCATTTTTAATTATTTGTTTTTTATTGTTGAATACTAAGAATTCTTTATGTATTCAATATACACGTTCCTTATCAGATATATTATTTGCAAATATTTTCCCCCACTCTGTGGGCTAATTTTTCACTAAATAATATTATTTGCAGCACAAAAGCTTTTCATTTTGATGAAACTCAATTTACCTATTTTTTCTTTTGTTGCTTGTGCTTTTGGAATCTATCATATCTAAGAAACCACTGCTTAATCTAAGGCCATAAAGACATACCCCTATATTTTCTTCTACGAGTTTTATAGTTTTAGATTCATTTTCAGTTAATTTTTGTATACGGTGTAAGGTGGGGGCCAGGACCTTGACTATTAATACATAAATCCCAACTTCAATTATTAAAAGCTGAGCAAATCACCATCCTATTTCAGACTTCCATTTCTCCAGCTTTAAAATATGAATAAACATGCCTGTCCTCATAGGATTGTCAAAGATTAAATGAGAAGGCCCTCTCTTCTATCTGTCAAAAATTGTATTATAGTCTCTCCTCACAAGAACTTTGAGGGACTCTTGTTCTAAACCACTGCTCATCCAACTTGTCTACACATCACCATCACCTGGCAAGATTGTTAAAACTCAGATTGCTGATCTTCACCCACACAGCTTCTCATTCAGAAGATCTAAGGCAGAGCTACAGAATTTGTGTTTCTAAGGAGTTCCCAGGTGATGGTGCTGACCACACTCTGAAATGACTAGGAATACAAAATGAGTGTGTGTGGTAGAGAGAGGACCACTAGAAAGCAGGTAGGAGAATAGCAAAAGCACACGGCTGTAATAAATGTTCTGTGATGAAAGACAAGGCCAGTGGGCAAATTGAAATGAAAATCGCCTTGTATATTTGAATCACATGCTTTACGTCTATACTGATGAAAGATAGCCAGAGATGGGCAAAGAAAATCACATTTCACAAATCCCCAGGTAATATATGTAACGTGATGAATATTTACCTTCCCTTTGTAAGCAGCAGTATATAGTCCTGATGAAATAATTAAGACAGAACTGGAATACTTGGTTCAGACCAAGCCATATTACTCCTGCCTCAGCCTTTGGGCTATCCTGACCCAGGTGAGAATCCACACACCACTGATGCTAATTAACCCATATTCTGAGGCAACGATCCAACCCAACATCTGCTATCCCCTTACCAGGTCTAACCTGTATCTTCCAGAATCTCATCTTTGAATTCTTACCTCACCTTTAAGACCCCTGTCATTGCTCCTACTTCTGACTCTCCAAACCTGGTGTTTGTTCTTAATGTCCTTGGTCATCTGAAGCATTTCATTTCGTGTGGGCATGAATGTGTTCATTCCTACAATGCCCGTTCCTGTGACTCTAGGAAGCCTTTAGATTGTCTTAGTAAATTGATCATGATATGAGACATAAAAAAGCAGATTATGTAACAATATGTGTAATATACTGTATTATAAAAATAAAT